CAGGTATCTGACGTTTACACAACTACATTCACGCCTCAAAATATCTTAAAAGTGTATTTTGTGACCCAGAAAGAGTAATATTACAACTAAATAGCTGCTAGTTGTAAGTTGTTGGAGTTTTGCGAGATCTCGCAATACTTTTGCGAGCGCTCGCAATACTTTTGCGAGCTCTCGCAAAAGTCCGTCTTAATTTTTTTTTTCTCCCTAATTTTTTTTTTTCCTCCGTAATTTTTTTCCCTCCCATGTCCCCTGGGGGGCTCCGTAGATTAGCAATTTGTGGCATTTTTTTAATGGATTTAACTAAAGAAGTATCCATAGAAAAACCCTGACCTTCAGAAAGACTGAAGAACTATTGCTCAAGAGCACGTAAAAAAAAAATCACAAGGTCTGGCTGATCGGAAGCTAAAGAAAATAGGATTGGACTTTTGAGGCTTTTGTTGTTGTTTCAGATCCACTTGCGCAGTAATAAGGTCACAAGCATCACAGAAAAATCTTTATTACAGGAAACAGATCCTTGAACCAAAAGTGCCACGGGGAACATTAGCAAACGAAAACAAACATAAAAACAAGGAGTGCTGAAAGTTTTCTGGAAATTTTTGGCAGAACAGAAGCTGACATACATGTATATATATATATATATATATATATATATATATGACCAATCATATTTACAACTAACTGAGTTACGCTTCAGCGGGAAATCTACGTCGTAACTTACAACGTAACCTGACGTGCAGCTCTGGAAAAATGCAACTACAGGTCAGGTCGACTCTGATCGCCGTGGAAGATTAAGTTGTGATGTAGATTTTTAGCTGAAGCATGATTAAGGCGTAATGCACGGTTACTGTCATATGTACAACTAATAAAAACGCTTTCTTTACATACAAAAACCTGATTTTTTAAATGTATTTCCAATACTTCAGTTTAAAAAAAAAACTTTGCTTAACAGTTACAAATGAGTAATATTAAACTTGTAACACATAAAATTCTTCAATTATGAACAATCCCAGCTGTCTCTATATACTCAGCTGAAGAGCTTAAAACTAAACATCTTCACAGAAACACACGTCTTTTGTTCTGATTAAGCTCACAATGTTACGCATTAGGATGCAGGTCTTTCCTCACTGCTTGAAACAAATGACACATATTGCTCCGTTTATCCTAAACCCCGGTGGAATAGCAACACAAACATCCTTGGTGTGATTGTCAGCATGTTTGCACGTGGACGTGAGCACAATACAGAGAGAAGACAAACATTCATGAACATCTACGTCGACCATTTGTCACCAGCCCTGAAATAGACGCAGTTAAATGAACCAATGTAAGAAATCACACGAACAGAAAAGAAGGGGGCATTAGAGGTGTTAATGAAAGCGCACCTCAGTCTGAACGTTTCCCTTGACAAGGTCTTTAATCACAGCGGTGAAAATCACTGATGAAGCGCTGTCTTTGTGTTCTCCGACTACATCAACGTCCAGCTCTCCTCCTTCTTCTTCCTCACCTTCTGAAGACTCTGTCCACGTGATGGTCACCGGTTCAGGGATGGGACTGGAGCCTCCAATCACATCGATGACCTCATCTTTGACAACGTCCCAGCTTCCATTTGCAGACTGTGAGGGTGAAACAAAAGGCTGCAGGTCAGCAAACACAGTCGGCGCTGTTCTGCTCTGAGTCTGAATCTCTTCTTTTATCTCAAAGTTTTCGTCGTCTCCATCCACATCGATGATCTCATCAGCGCTGCTCTGTACTTCCTCATCTGTCAGACTTCCCTCAGCTAGTCTGAGTTCACTCCACGGGAGATTTTCTTTTTCTTCTTGTAAACAGGCTCCGGTCGGAGAAACAGTCTCTACATCGATTGTCTCCTCAGGATCTGTGGCTCCTAGTTTAGAGGTAAAGTCTGCAGGTTCAGAGGTGGGTGGCTGTGTCGGTGTCTCAAAGCAAGCCCTCTTGGCCACGGTGGCGTTATCACTCGTATCCTCGTCTGACTCTGCTCCCCTCTTCTGTCCCCTCCTCGTAGCCCCCCCCACCTCTTCGTGTGACTGTACAGCCAACTCCTCCTCACGTCTCTCCTGGTTTTTCTCAAGTTGTTCATCCGCAACACAGAAATCTGCAGGCTGTGCCAGAATGGGTGGTTTTGAACACTCTCTGTTAGATGAACTGAGAGGGTCATTTTTCCTGGGTCTGCCCCTACTTCTGCGCCCTGATTGAACTGCTGAGGGTAGGCGTTTGGCTGTAAGTGGCTCCTCGAGGAAGGGTAAAGCATCCTGTAAAACAGATTCACCTTAATGAACTATAAAAGTACAAAACAATAGTCTAAACATGGAAAATACTGAAAACAGTGCTACCCCTCAGCCTCCTATTACATGCAACCTATGGTATACAGCTTTCCTTCTTAACTGACTGCATTCACAAGATTTTCAGAAAACTTGACCCATGACCTTGACTGTGAGGTCGAGGTTACGAAATCTGTACTCGTCCGAGACTTTTAGTAGATACACCACTGAGCCTTTTATGACTGAGTGGGGGAAAAATCCACGTGTGGTAACTTTAAATATCTGTCAGCATTCAAACGCAGTTGTCACAAACTGGCTCAAAGTAGCAGTATTTGGGATGCACCGTCTGGTAATCACGGAGTTTCACACGCTCTGGATAAGTTGATCAGTTGATGGTTCATCCACAGAGCCTCACTGATCCCTTTAAATCTAAAGACAGATGAGTTCTTTAATCTAGTAAAAAGAAAGAAAGAAAGAAAAAAGCCTCATTCTCACCGGGATTTGTGGTTCCCTTACCCGGCTCCTGATTGGGTAGATCTTCAAGAAGCCACCATGGGGATTTTCCCCTGTAGATGATATGTTTTTTGTTTCTTCAGGACCCTGAAAAAAACATATGCACATAAATTATATACAAACATACAGTACAAACAGAATAAATGGTTTGACTGATCTTAATACAAAGATTTAATCATGTTTTGCTGAGAGGAAGTATCCCGTGGATTTAACAGAAAACTTGGCGGTGTGGTCTCCAAGAAGATTCTCACGGGTAAGATAAGACCTGGTGATACTTTCACTAGCAGTAAAGCACTCCATTAATAGCCTCTATCAAGATTAGTATATAATTTTTAACTAAGAGAGAGATTACCTGTGGGTGATAACTTTGAGCTCAATTAAGACTGTAAGTATGGAAGCCCGTTTCCGCCACAAAAAAAAAAAAAAAAAAGCTAGTATCCATAACTCGAAATTTCGAGTTATTATCTCGAAATTTCGAGAAATATAACTCGAAATTTCGAGTTACTTTTCTCAAAATTTCGAGTTAGCTCTGCCAATCAAAAATATACGTGAATGAGGTCGCTTTCTTGTTACCCGGAAGCATATGGCGCAGGACCGCGCACTCAAAAACGGATCCCAACAAATTAAAGTATGTTTGCTGATAGTAACACCATGTGATTCAGCTAATAACACAGGGATTTCATCATTTGTGAAGCCAGGCTGAAAACACTCAGCAATCTGTGCATTCACGACTGGATGTAATACCGGTAGCTTAGCTGTAGCATTTGTAGCTGAGGGCTTCAGCTTCCGGGTAACATGGAAATGACGTCATTCACGTAGATTACTGATTGGCAGCGCTAACTCGAAATTTCAAGTTGCTTTTCTCAAAATTTTGAGTTAATATGTCGAAATTTCGAGAAAATAACTCGAAATTTCGAGAAAATAACTCGAAATTTCGAGATAATAACTCGAAATTTCGAGAAAATAATTCTAAATTTTGAGTTATGGATCCTTTTTTTTTTTTTTTAGTGGCGGAAACGGGCTTCCATATGTAAGGGATATTTATGCTTACAGAACTTTTACAGTTTCAGTCAATCGATATGCTGTCATCGGTGTGCTGGCTGTGTAAGCATGCAGTAGTATAGCCATTCTTAAACAAGCAAAGCATCATGCAGGAGTTGAGGCTTTGGGGTTAACTGGTTTGAATCTTCTATTAAATTTAGGATAGTTTTGATTTACACCGGAAAATAATCCTCTGCATCGGCAGCTTTGACATTTGGAGTTCCACAGGGATCTATCTGGGGGCCTATTTGTTTTCTTTATTACGCTCTGTCTAGGTCATATTACTCACCAGCCCATTTCTTTTCATCGCTATGCAGATTTACCTTGGAATCAGGAAGATCGCTGACCCATAAGAAGGCTCAGTGAGTACATTTTGCACGTCCCACAGTTTCTTAGAGTTAAACAAATCCAAACCAGGGGAAATATTATTTGGCCATCCACTATAAACTGACAGTTTGAAGGATAATCTGGGCTCATTAACTCCTTTTATTAAAACACAGGTTAAAAACCTCCCAAATAATAATCATTGATTAATAATTTGGATAATCTCCCTGATATAGACAATTGAAATATTAATGCAACCTTTTTGGTTTTAAATGTGCTATAAAAATACAGTTTACTTACATATTTAATTACTGTTATTATTCACTTATTTAGCAGGTGACAGACGGCAAAATTAAACGATCTGCCAGTTAGCTATTTGAAATATTTCCCACCTTGCCTTTCAGATTCTGACAGATGTGTTGCGGCATTGCCACTTTGACCGGCAGCAGTTCTCTCCTCTCCAGGTTCACCACAGGAATCTGCTTTAGCTGATTCTCTTTTCTGGCATGAGGGTTTCTGTTCACCGCATCGTCTGGCTTCCTCACCTTCACCTTCTTCTTCTCTAGTGAGAACAGATAAGGCTTTTGCCTTCTTTTGTTCTGTCGTTTTGAAGTCGGTCTAGTTTCCTCTATGTGTTTGGGGGAAACGGTGCGGCCAGCGTGGGCCTTGCGTGACTGTGAGCGGCTCTCTTGAGACTCGTTTTCATCAATGTGCAGCTCAGGTGTTTGAGAGCACTCAATTCTGTGGGTGCTCCTTTGTAGTTGAGGCATGTAGGGGGTTGTAGTGTGATCTTTGTTTTTTTTGTAAGTGTTCAAGAGAGTGAGAGGTTGGCAGGACTCTGTGGAGCTCACACCACTCGTCTCCATCTCCTCTCTTGCACGACAGCTTTCAACATGCTGCTCAAACGACTGCAGGAAGTGGTCCAGCATGTCACCCAGCTCTCCCTCGCACGGCCGCTCTAGAACTGGCACCACACCATTTGTAGAACTGGAGCGACCAGCTGCTCCTGCAACAGCTGCAACCTCAGTGGATTCATGGAGCTCAGAAGAAAGGCTCTGCGGTTTGTTTTGGAATGAGGTGATTTCAGAAGAGGCAGAGGCGCCAGTGTTGCTACCTGCTGAAAGGGGATGCTGAGCACGTGAAGCGCTGCCTTTGTTGTTTGGTAAAATATCGAGTCCCATCATCACTTCCTCCAGAAGACGATCGATCTGCTCAGGCTGCTCCTCGTGAGGTGGTGGGGCTGGGACAGGAAGACAGGATGGTGGAGAGGAGGCTGCAGGCGATGGCAGGTGGGGAGATGGAGAAGCCTGGAAGGAGTGGCTGGAGGTAGATAGAGTATGTGCATTGGTAAACTGCATAGGTGTGGGAAAACAGGAAGCCGATGTTGCTGTTTTGCCTCTGGACCTTCGTGGCCTCCGCACAGGAAGACTGCCCTGCAAACAAGGACAGGTCACAATGTTTGAAAGAAGCAGCAAATGTAACATCCTGCTTTAAATCTGAATCCTCATTTTTGGGTGTAAAAACCCTCAAAGGTTTCGTTTTGAGCTCCCAGACCCTATAATTTTATTTAATTACAGCTTTTGACACTCTATAGATGCCACAAACAGGACACTCATTCGCTTACCTGTTCAAACTGTTGCCCCGTATTTTTCCTTCCACGCTGAGTGGTGCTTCCTCCGATCTCACCAGACGGCAGCACATCTTCAACTTGGCTTAATGCCCACGCTATGCCACGCCCTCTTCTCCTCTCACAGCGTCCACCCTTTTTCACAACCTCTCTGGTCTGCAGGCACAGCTTCCTCCCAGCAGCTCCGCCTCCCTGACCCGTCCTGGGCGTCCTCATGCCCCACCTGAGCAAGAACAACTTCTGCAACCTGCTCACCCCCACCTCCTGCACCATTTGAGTTAATCCTCCCCGACCACGCCCTCTCCCTCCTGCTCGTGGTCTCCCACGCTTCTTCTCGCCCGTCTCGGCTCTCCTGGCACCTCCGACCCCGGACCTTCGCCTGTGGCCTGCTCTCCCCCTGCGGGGCTCCTCCTCATTGTCAGGGTTCAGAAAGTAGCTGATGAATCCTGGGATGTTGCCTTGAAACTGTTTAAACTGCTCTTCCTCCCATTCTTCCACCACTGTGACATCTTGGTCAGCCCATCCGCTCTGGGGGTCGGCATTACAGATGGTTGTCTGGCTCATAAAATGAGGGAGGGATGGGGGGGCAGATGTGTACGGCTGGGTCACAACAGCAACAGGTGTGCTTTCAGCTTCAGGTATAGAACCTAAGGGAGCAGAGGATATCTGAGGTGTTAGTTCATTTGGAGGGTAGAGGACAGACACAGGGCAAATCTGAGGGGGAACAAGTAGGGGGTCTGAGTGCTGTATACTCTGCAGAGCACTCATATCGATGGTCTCAAACGATACTGCTGGGTGAGCAGGTGGAGCTGTGTTTATCTGCAGCTCGTCTGTTTGAGTGCACACATCCTTCCCGCCATTTGACATCATCTCTTTCCAAAGAAAAGTGCTCCCATCCCTCACCTCTCTCCTCCACCTGCTTGGTCTCTCCTCACTCTCAAACATCAGAGGCTCCGTCTGCACTCCTATTTCGGCGCACTGCCCGACCCCATCCCTGCTCTTACACTCCCTTTTCGTCACCTCCACCAGCCCGTGGATGCCCAGGTTGGCCGCAGCAGAAATAGCCTGTTGCTTCTCCCTCTCACCCTCCCCAGCCATCTCTCCAGAGTATAGAAGCCTGACCAAGTGGAGCAAGGTGCAGGCACCCAGAGCCCGAAACTCCAAGAGGCGACTCTGCCCCGCAGCGGGAGTCGGTGTGGAGGACAGAGCGGAGGAGATGTGGGGGCTGATAGCTGACAGAATACAGCTGTGTGCGGGTATAGACACCCCTGCAAGACAGGGAGAAATGACAAAAACAAAAACTTTAAAAGCAAAACTAACACATGCAAAATTTTGTTTTGGGTTTTTTGTGTATGTGTGTCTCATACCTTCTGCCTTAAGCAGAGTGTCACAGAACTGGCTGCACTGCTGTTGTCTCTGCAGCTCAGTGAGGAGGAGGGTATCAAACCCTGGTTTTTGGTAGCACCACATTTCCCCATCCACTTCAGAAGGGGAGCAGAGAGGAGTGGAAACGGAAGGTGACATGTGTGTGGAGTGTGAAGCAAATATCCCTGCTCACCTGGACATTAGCACAATAAATGCTTCGATATTGTGGACAAAAACACACTTTTTGAGTTTGAAATTTTTGCACATTAAAACAGAGATTTTTGAGGTCGAGCTTTCTTTCTCCTTTATCAGCAGCTTTATAGTTTCTTATTATGTATAGTGTGGATTAATGGGCAATCTTAAATATTTCTTGCAGCAATAAATAGCCTTTGAGCACATTTAAACTCGAGTCATGTGGGGCCAGCTCAAAGCCCGCGCGCTGGTTAGTATCAGAGGACTAGCTAGCAGTGAACTCCAAACAGACTACACAGAGAAAAGAGTTGTACTAGCTTAGTTAACATGTTACAGACCGCTAAACGTCTGTTCTAACATCACCTTCCAGCATATCTGGCCTGTTTTAACCACGCTCTCCCGGCTTGCTAATTAAAGCTGCTGTTAAAGTCGGCCATGTGACAGACACCTGGTTTACTCACCGTCTGCGGGCCTGAAAACTCTCTACAGATCCACTATCGAGGCACAAAATAAAACCGTTTCTTTTTTAAAAAAATAAATGTACTTCACAAAATATATTTAACGGACAGCATTTTATTGGGCTGTTTTTTGTCCGATTTTAGTGGGGTCAGCCGCAGGTCAACGTTGTCATCAGAGGAAACGGTGCAGTCTTCCGCTTCGCCGCTAGGGGGCGGCAGCGTCACCGCACAGACGCCACGGCCACCCCCCAAGGAAAGAAAAAACAGCCGGCCAAAGATACACAAACACATTACAAAGAGAGAGCATTCACTGCTGGCACCTCCGTCTTCGTCAAATGGCACCAGAAACTAGTGGAAGAGTATGCGAT